TCACAGGTCAAGTGCTAGGTATTGAACACAAGTGTTGATGGAATTGTTTAGTTGTACACAAACAAACAAGAGCAGGGAAAAACAAATGAAATAACAATCAACCATGAGGACTAGCTGCCGATGATACCTCTTCTAATTAATAAATTGTTCAGTGGGAGACCCACCTAAACAATACTATCTAAAGAGGAGGATAAAGAGTGGAAAATAACTAAAATTCCAATAAAATATACAAATTATGTTTATTAATGATTTTCATTAAATGAATAATAAAATACTTTTCCATGCAGGCCAAATAAACAACGCTATAAAAATATCCGCCATATTTTTCCTTGTCTGGCTGCCTTTTTTATTTTTAAATTAGCCATAGCAATGCGATAAAACAACAAACATTTCCTTAAATCATTAAATGTTTTAATACATGCTCACTCATTCACTCACCCAAGCAAGTGATGGATCGCCATCGATCAAATAGTTACGCTTCCACCATATCAAAGCAAACAAATCTCCCCACATCAAAGTCTAATCGTTGATCGTTTATTTGACGCCCCGATCAATATGGTTACTCGTATGTGGGGGTTTTATTGCCTTAAACACAATTAAGTGCCAGGGAAAGATAGAGAAAGAACGAGTAAGAGAGAGAGAGAGAGAGAGAGAGAGAATCTAACAAAAGATCATTAATGAATGTCTCATACGTATGTTGTGGGGGATCAGTAAGCTCCGCCTTCCAATGCTCAGCACATCGTATGGCGATTGGTGTTCACACATGAACAAGAGAACAACATTGCATACAACTTCTCCCATATGCAAATAAACATTCTCAATTCTCCACCATATGTGCACATATGTGGCCCTCACTTCGGAGGAAAAGACAGTGGGTGTACGTGCCATGGACCTTATAAAAATCATCATATAAGGTTAAATTAACAGAGATGGCCAGATTAAAAGTAATGGTACTTTTTATATCCTCCACCATCGTATGGAGGGTAATATTAAGTTAGTCATTCCGTTTGTAACTCCTCGAAATACTCATGTCAGACCCTACAAAGTATAAATATTCTGGATCAATGTAAAATTCCAAGTCGATAGCGATGTTATCTTTCGAACGAATTGAGATCGAAGGCTAAAATTTTGCACTATGTGTATTTTTCCGGTAGGTAGGTTAAATTCGTAAATGGGACATGACGGTCCACGTTTTCATATAGCCGCCATATAACGGTACCTCCCTATATTCGGTATTTTCAAGATTTAAGCGACATTATATACCTTATTCCCTCCATAATTTGATGGAAAAATCGTACAAAAATACGTCTTTAAATGTTGGTTTTCGCGGATTTTTATCCGGATTTTTATCGACCTAGAATTTTAAATTGATCCAGAACTTATATATACCTTGTAGGGTCTGACATGAGTATTTCGAGGAGTTACAAACGAAATAACAAAGTTTATATTTCCTCCATAATTTAATGGAAAAATCGTACAAAAATACGTATTTAAATATTGGATTTCGCTGATTTTTATCGATTAAATATACCCTGAAATTCTCTGGATTAGAATTTTAAGTCCATATCTATAATTTCCCATGCTTTTCTTTGCGGGTTTCTGCAGTCTTTTTTCGCATTTTCGGAATAACAAATTTCTGTGACGTTTCAAAGAATCTTGCAACCATTCTACTATTTTTTATTCGACCAAAATTCGTTTGGCAACTGTTGGCAGCGCTTAAATTCTTGAAAAAAAATATATTTTTAAAAATCCGCGTTTATGGCTAGGTCTTGAAAAAAAAATAGTTTTAAAAAATCCACGTTTATGGCTAGGTCTTGAAAAAAAATATTTTTAAAAAATCCACGTTTATGGCTAGGTCTTGAAAAAAAATATTTTTAAAAAATCCACGTTTATGGCTAGGTCTTGAAAAAAATATTTTTAAAAAATCCACGTTTATGGCTAGGTCTTGAAAAAAAATATTTTTAAAAAATTCACGTTTATGGCTAGGTCTTGAAAAAATATTTTTAAAAAATCCATGTTTATTTTTGGACATTGAAAAAATATTTTTAAAACATCCATGTTTATTTTTGGACCTTGAAAAAATAATTTTGAAAAATTCAAATTTATTTTTGGACCTTGAAAAAATATTTTTAAAAAATTCACGTTTATGGCTAGGCCTTGAAAAATATTTCTAAAAACTTCAAGTTTATGGCTTGGCCTTGAAAAAATATTTTAAAAAAACCACATTTATTTTTGGACCTTGAAAAAAAATATTTTTAAAAAATCCACGTTTATTTTTGGACCTTGAAAAAAAATATTTTTAAAAAATCCACGTTTATTTTTGGACCTTGAAAAAAAATATTTTTAAAAAATCCACGTTTATTTTTGGACCTTGAAAAAAAATATTTTTAAAAAATCCACGTTTATTTTTGGAACTTGAAAAAATATTTTTAAAAAATCCACGTTTATTTTTGGATCTTGAAAAAATATTTTTAAAAAATCCACGTTTATATTTGGACCTTGAAAAAATATTTAAAAAAAATCCACGTTTATTTTTGGACCTTGAAAAAATATTTTTAAAAAATCCACGTTAATGGCTAGGTTTTTTATTTAAAAAATGTTTTTAAAAATCCACGTTTATGGCTTGGCCTTGAAAAAATATTTTTAAAAAATCCATGTTTATTTTCGGACCTTGAAAAAATATTTTTAAAAAATCCACGTTTATTTTTGGACCTTGAAAAATAATTCTCAGTACAAATATGAGAAAGTAAATCCTTTAAAATCAACATTTCAGCCTATCAGAATCAGGCAATCCTGATAATTTCAAAAATTAAAAATGCAGTTGATTCCAACACGATCTGGAACATGGTTCTATATCCAATACATTATGTGACATAAGCGCCATCTATTCTTTATTATTTTTTTATTGTCTATTTAATAACAGTAGTAAAGTACATTTTCCCTCATGTGTACTCTAGAAAAATTGAATTTATTTTAAAATAAGGTACGGTTTCCACCCTTTTTTCATCAATCCTTCCCAATCTTTTGGTATTTTTTTTTTTTTAACAAGTAAATATGAATATAAGAACTCACATGGTATGGCTCATGAAATTATCGGCCACCAAATGAAGTGACCACTGAGAGCGTAGAAACGAACCAATGTCAGTGCGCTCCATACAATAGTACAGTGGTTCAAAGATGACAAAAATACATCCAAAGTTCATTTGAAAAAGTTTATTCAAATTAAAAAAAAAAAAACAAGAAAAGAACAGAGTAACAGTACGTTTACATATAAATGGGTTAACCCACTGGATTTGGATTAAAATCCATTATTTACACTTGAAATAAATCTCCTTAAAGTAGATTAACCCTACAAAAATACTAATGTTAATATGGCATACAATAAAACAAAAGTCCTAATTGCTGGAAAAATTTCCTTTAAACAAGTTCGTTTTTGACTCAAAAATTAAAAATATAGAAGCCAGGCGAATTGAAAGGCTGGATAGCTCCTTTGAAAAAGTTCGTTTTGGAATCTCACAATTATATTCTTCAATCAACGATTCGACAATTGTCACTCCCCCCATCCCCATCAGACGGAATTTCCTCACCTCTGAAGTCCATAAATTCCTTTACAATATAACAGGTGATTGGATCTGTAAACTTGTTCGTTAAAGTGTCAAAAATGCCAATCGTCGGTCCAAAGGAACAAAACGAGCTGGATAATGCAAAAGAACGTTGATCTGTTTCAGAATCTGAGAGATTCTACTAGTTCTGCAATTTATTACTATATCATAAAGAGAAAATCGGTTATCGTAGTAAAAACGTTTACAGTCTTGCAGTTCTGGAACAGATAACTTGATGAAGCCATGGAGACACTTCCGAACGTTCCATTCAGAAAACATTTTCTTTGAACTACTTCGGGACGACCAGCCCTTGTTTCCGAAAAGTGTCCGACGATCTACAATTCTCTCGATCAGGTTTAATTTCCTCACCTCTGAATCCTTCACATTCTTTAATAATAGGAAGACTAAAGGGAGCTTACATTTAGCCGAATTGGAAGAGTATTCAACCTTTTGCATAATTTGGTAGGTATTTTTATCCTGATTCCGGGAAACTATTTTCTTCTTGGGGGGAAGGACCAGGAGTCCCACATTTTTGATTTAGTAAAAACTCTTCGATTTTTTCGAAATTTTTTTTCCAGAGGTAGGTATTTTTACCCTGATTCCGGGAAACTATATTTTTCTTGGGGGACGAACCCGGGACCCGAAAGTTCGGGTTTAGACCCAGGCTAAACCCAGATCCACTAGCCCCATATAGACAATATAGGTATCATTTGAAAGCTATATATAGCTATTCCACAAGTGGTCACATGATGGTGTTATTTATAAGCGGTTCGCATGTTATGATCAAATTATCGATTTTTTGAACCCGGATTTTTTATAAAACCCCCAAAAAGCCGAAAAAGGCCCATTATGCGGGTCAATAAAATTGATGCCAAATTATAGTTGACACTCTTACTTTTTCAAAATGCCACAATTTATGCTAATACGTTTTTCGGGTATTAGTTTTCAAATGATACCTATATTGTCTAAATCTGGTAATAGGATCCGGGTCTAACCCCGGATATAGAGAGTCTACGAAAAGGGAGTCTCTACTTCAGCATCTCAGATTGAGAGAAACAGAGATATGGAAGTATGGACTGTAAAGTTTTATTTACTTTTGTAAAGACTTAAATCAAACAACAGCCCCAGGATTAAGGTTAAAAAAACTAAAATTATTTTCAAATTCTCTTCCCTTTGACCCACTGTGCCACTAAGTGGCTGTTTGTTGTGTTGCTGTTGCTGAGATTCCCCATTCACACCAATGACAACAACACTCAACAACGGCAACAATAACAAACACACACATTGTTTGTATTAATTTGTCGAACACACAATCATCGATCGATGATCGTTCGATAGCTGCTGGTGCTGTAGCTGATGCTGCTGCCGCCCTGCCATAGTCATGTCAGTTCGATGTGGGACGTCTTACAAATCGTTTTGATCTGTTTTTTGGTTGGAAATCAGGCGGCGGGAAAACAATATCCAAAAAGAAAAGAAAAACAACGTTATCTTAGGTGCAATAAAATCGAATTTTTGAGTAGCGTCGGTAAAACCAATGAAACAAATAAAAAATTGAGTAATAAAAAAATAATCAAGAAATATTAAAAATCTAAATTTTCGAAAAATTAAATGTGATGTCACTGTGAGATAAAAATAGTTAAATAAATGATATCAAAACAACAGCAACCGCAACAGCAAAACATGGCCATACTTGATGAGGAAATAAATTTCGCCCAAAATAAAATGGAAGAATTGCCGACAAATTTAAGTTTAGATAAAACCCATAATTGTGATAAACGTCTGCCAGAGATGGAGGAGGAGGTGGGAGGGCCATTGAATTCCCCCTCGAGTGTAGGTGACAAATTGGAAAATCCACAAAATAATGATTCAAAAGCTCCCTCAAACAGTGATCATCAAGTGAAAGAGACGACAAGTGAAACGCGAATTCATTTAAGTTTTAGTGTCGATCGTTTGTTGAATAATAAAACGCCACAAGTGCCAGAAAAACATCAGCAACATCATCGAAAAACGGAAAATGATAACTGCTGTTCGGACATGAATAATGGTGGTGGTGGTTACTCCTGCTGTACCCTACCCAATTGTTTGGTGGGAACTGGCGCTAATCACCCGACATTGTCATTTCCTGGCCATGCTCATAACGAAGAGGAATCGGCGACAATGGGACAAACCTCAAATTTAATGGATTTTAAATCAATTGTCAGACCCACACCCATGAGGGCAGCAATGGGAAATAATGGCACGGGATGCGGCCCTGAACAAGGTAAATTTATTTGGGGAGACATTCTATATTTGGTAAAAAATAGTCCTTAAATTTAAATCATATGCTGAGGATAGGCTCAAATCTAAAATAAGGAATCAATCCTGCCAAAATCGATACAGTTTGGATAATGTATATCGGTCTCCGAACTTTCTCATTGAGAACTGTTACTTAAAAATAGTTAAGAAATTGAACATTTTCATCATAACCCAAAAATAACGAATGTTCGTTTTAAGAGAGGTCCTTAGGCGCTTATAAATCGCAGAACTCTTGTTAATTTTATTTTCAGAGGGTAGTGAGGATATATATCATTTGATACGGCCAAAACGTGCTTCATCGAAATAACGGTTTTAGACCCTAGGTTTCTTTGGATCAAATACCTTTCAAGACATTTGGAGTCGATATACCGATGTCCGTCCCTCTGTCCGATTGATGAGCACTCTCGAAGACAGTATCCGATTTGGTCCAAACTTAATACATCGTAATATTATTATCAAACTTATATAGAATTAGTAAAGAAAGGATAATCCGAGTTTGTTCCAACTGTGTAAATCCTAATATTCCATCAGTACTAGGTCAGGTGCAAAAATGGACAACATCGGTCCACTCCATCAAGTACCTCCCCCACAAAGGGAGATGTAAGAGTTCGATTGTCTTCAAATTACACAGATCACAAATTTTTATGAACCCAAGGTCTGATGTAAAGATGGGATGTATCGGCGCACGTCTTCTGGTACCTCCCCCCCCAAAAGGGTCAACCCGAATTTAATACCCGATCCCATTCAGACATCTCAATATCTCCATCAACACAAGATCTGTAATAAAGATGGTAGAGATCGGACCATTCCTTTTGGTACCTCCAAAAAGACAAAGATTTCAGTAACCAAAACGATCATAAAATCCGAAAGAAGCATCCGGTCCTCTTCATATTTTACACAACCCATTATTTCTACTGGCAAAAGATCTGCAGTGAACATGGGATATATCGGTCCACTCCTTCTGGTACCTCCCCCACAAGGGTGAACATTTTTAATATACATGAGGCTAATGATACGCGAAATTAACATCCGATTCCATTCAGACTTGGTGCATCTCAATATTTCCATCAACACAAGATCTGTTATAAAGAATGAATGTTATAAAGGGTGAATTTTTTGAATAACCACAACGATCAAAAATCCGATATAAGCATCCGGGTCTCTTCATATTTGACACTCCTCATTATTTCTACTAACACAAGGTCTGCTGTGAAGATGGTCACTCCTTCTGGTACCTCCCCCACAAAGGATAAAAATGTTGAATATCCATGAAGATCATACAACGCCAAATTAACATCCGATTCCATTCAGACTTGGTACATCACATTATTTCCATCAACAAAAGATCTGTTGTAAAGATGGTAGAGATCGGACCATTCCTTCTGGTATCTCCCCCACAAAGAGTCAATGTTTTGAATAACCAAAACGATCATAAAATCCGAAATAAGCATCCAGTTTCCTTCATATCTCCCATTATTTTTGCTAACAAAAGATCTGCTGTGAATATGGGATATATCGGTCCAGTCCATCTGGTATCTGCCCCACAAAGGGTCAAAATATATATATGTGAACCCATTCTAGTGCTTCACCCACAAAGGCTCATAATTTTCAATACTTTTATCTGTCATAACTTACGAAACAAATCATCGATTCTTTACAACTTGCTATATTCAAATATTTCTCTCAATCAGATGCCTGATTGGAATACATGGTATTGAATCAGGCTCTCAGTGACAATGCAGGGTGAGATACAAGGTGCAACAAAGTCAAACGCCATAATTTTTAAATTTTTTAAATTTTATTGAAAGCAAAAAATGTCGGAAATAGCATCAAATTTTAGAAAAAGTTTAGATTTGTTCGAATTGCTCACCTTTGGCACGAATTATAGCCTTCAAACGGCCAATGGAACCGTCACACGCTGACCGAATGTTGCTCTGCCGTATTTTGGCCTATTTTCGGCGGAGCGTTTGCGTGAGGTGACTGACGATTTGTTATTTTTTAGTGCCAACCTTGCTTTTCAAAATACTCCAGACACAATAGTTCAACGGATTGGTATACGGAGATTTTGGTGGCCATTGTGCGCTGGAAATTAAGCGAGGAACCTCATTTTCTAACCTTTCTTTGGTATCGCTTGCTGAGTGCATTAGTGCTGAGTACTGTTGGAATGTCCAAGATCTGCGCCAAAATGTTTGCGTGCCCAAGGCTTTATTACACCCTCCTGAATATTTTCGCGATAATATTCGGCATTTATTCTAATGCCACGGTCGATTAATACGAACGGAGAGCGACCATCGGCTGTTATGGCGGCCCATACCATCACCATGACAAGCGCTTGAGTTCTGCTGACCAACCGAAGGTGCACATTTTCAGCTGACCTCTTTGGCAAGTAAACACGATCTTTTTGTTTCTTCACAAACTGCTGGTTAACGAATGTTTTCTCATCGGAGACGGCGAAAACCAAATTCGGCAGTTCACCACTTTCGGCCAATCGAAGCAACTCTTTAGCTCTTTTGAGTCTATTTTCTTTTTGTTGCGGTGTAAGTTCTTGCACTTTTTGGAGCTCATTTTTCCAATATTTGCCGAATGGAATATTGCGATATGTTCAGCTCACGAGCCATTTTTCGGCCACTGTGACGCGGGTTTCGATCAATTCGCCTCTTTACGTCTCGAACCATTTCTGTTGATGTTGCTGTTTTCCTCAGTTCATTTCCTAGACGTCGGGCTACGCTACCAGCCAGTATCACGGTATCTAGCGATGGTACGAGACACAAAAGATTTATTCACATTTAAATACTGGAGTGCTCTAACGATAGCCACTCGTGGTTTTCCAGCCAAATATAAAGATATCACGCTACACGCTTGAATTCCATCACGAATAACTTTTTTTTTTGCTGCTAAATTCACACCAAAATGTTTTGGTACACTTGTAAACAATATAATGAGCTGTCTCTGGAATAATTTTAACAGCTGTCGGACGAGTGGCTTAGAAATGATAGCAGTCTGAAGTTGGTTGCAGTTTTTTTCATTTCACCCTGTATATCCTTATTAGATGACGTATCCACATTCCCCAAATCAGATCTTTTGATTTCCATGGGAAGATCTATCGATATTCTATGAGAAGATCTATCGATCTCTTTGAGAAGATCATTCGATATCCTATGAGACAATTTACCGAACTTCTATGAGAAGACCTATCGATCTTCTATGTGAAGACCAATCGAGATTCTATGAAAATATTTTTCAATCTTCTATGGAAGAATGTACGCAGATTCTATGAGAAGGTCTACCGATCTTCTATGTTTTATGAAAAGATCCACCGATCTACTTTAAGAATATAACCTGATCTTTCATTAGAAAATCTACGGATCTTCCATGATCAAGATCTATAGATCCTCTATGAAAAGATCTGTCGATTTTCAATGAGTAGATTTACTGATATGCTATGAAAAAATCAACCGATATTTTTAAAAAAAAATACTGATCTTCTAGGAGAATATTATTGGAACTTTTATAAAGACCAGAAGGTCTTCTCCTATAGAAGATCAGAAGAGAGGACCTTCTAGACCAGAAGAGAAGACCTTCTAGACCAGAAGAGAAGACCTTCTGGACCAGAAGAGAAGACCTTCTATAGAAGAACAGAAGGTCTTCTCCTAAGGCGAGAAAGTCTTCTACAGGAGACGATGAGGTCTTCTCATAGAAGCCATGGAATGATCTGTCGATTTTAGATAAGTCGATTTACTGATCTCCTATGAAAAATCAACCGATATTTTATAAAAAAAAATTACTGATCTTCTATGAGAAGATCATTTGAACTTTTATAAAAGACCAATCGAACTTCTATGAGAAGGTTCATTAATCTTCTATGGAAAATTCTACAGATCTTCTATGCGAAGATCTTCTATTAGAAGATATATCAATCCCCTATGAGAGGATCTACTGCTCTTCCGTAAAAACCTCTAATTATCTTTTAATAGAAGACATATCGAACCTCTATGAGAAAATCTGCCATCAATCTTCTGTAAGAAAATTCATTGATTTCCTTTGAAAAGATCTATCTGCTGTAAATGAGGAGATCCATTCTTCTCGAAGAAAATATATCAATCTTGATCTCCTTCTTGGTAGAATAATGAAATATCTTCCGAATTTCCTTGAAATAAATATAAATATCGAAATGCATTTGTTTTGGTTTATGAAGCGAAAATCAGCAGCAGCAGCCAGCCAGCCAGCCACCTCCTTGTAATGAATGTTCCCCCCCCCCCCCCCCCACACACACACACACAATCGTCAGCGGCGACGTGGCGTGTATGCAAATTGTCTTCGTCAGTCGATAAACAATGCAAAACACTTAATTTTGAATGAATTTCGATCAGAATATAAAATTCTTTCATCTTGATTTGCACATGCCGAGGCTGTGAAACCGCAAGGTGGATCCATAATGAGAATTTTCCAATTTTCGATTCGATGCAATAACTTTATTTATTTTCAGACGGAATTATTGATCATCAGGAGGAGGAATTCAGTGTAAAGATGATACGAATGCGAGTGGCCAGCCAGAAAAATACAGTTCGAATCATCTGTGACCATATTGTGCGAGATTCGAAAAAGACTCCAATCAGAGATCATTCGACCAGAAAAAAAAGACCAGTTGGTTATTGTTTTTTAACGAAATAACAACTAAAATTGTGGAACAAAAAGAAATGTTCGAACAAAAGGAAACACACACACACACCCTGAAATTCAAATAAATGTCTTCCTGCTGTGCGGACATCAAAGAACATTTCCACTGCTCGAAATGAATGTTTTTGAGGCCGCTCTCTCCTTCGATCACCTATCCCAGAATCGGGTGATTATGGCTGTTGGATGGGTTAATTTTGCTTGCCAAGTTTGTTGCACTTCTTGGGGTTCATCTAGGTGGGAGCATTTGGTATGTGTGTGGCATGGCAGTTGCATCCTCTCCAGCTGCCT